AGTTTGTGATAAAGATCAAGTAGCTTAGATATATTTAACAAGCATTTGAAGTTCTCCATTTTCTTACTTGTTGTCCCAATTATACGTTTGTGATTTACACAACAATTTTAGAGAAATGTTAAGATAGATTCTAAAGGATTCTACTACAACCTGCTGATATGTATCTAATACGCATTTAGTATTTATTTAGTATATATGTTTAAGATATATCCTTCATCGTTCATTCGTTTGTGATAAAGATCAAATAGCTTAGATGTATTTGAGTTGTGTGTATAATAATGTACAATATGAATACAATTACAACTTTTCCCATTAATTGCTAAAGTTGAAATTTTAAAAGTTTAATTCAATTGGCGATTGTGGTTGATTTCGAATTATATTCCTTCGTCTCCGTCTCTCTCTCTCTCGAAGCTTCAAGTCGTCGATTATGGCTGCAGCGATGTCTTCTTCTTGCTGCGTTTCGTCGCTTCGTCTAGTCCCTTTCAAACAGTCCATGATTTCTTCCGTTCATTATCCGGTAAAACCCCTGATTTCCCCCCCAATCCTCTCTTTTCGTCGGACAATTGTCACGTTCCAGAAAATATCAACCCGAATCACTCGTCCGCCATCGGCTTCATCATCTCCGTCGAGCTCTGGAGACTTTGAACCAATCGAAGATCTTCCTCCGAAGCTACAAGAGATCATCAAGCTATTCCAATCGGTACAAGACCCCAGGGCTAAGTACGAGCAGCTGCTGTTCTACGGTAAGAATCTGAAACCGCTTGATTCTCAATTCAAGACGAGAGAGAACAAAGTACAAGGATGCGTGTCTCAGGTATGGGTTAGGGCTTTCTTCGACGAGGAACGAAACGTCGTGTACGAAGCCGATTCCGATTCGGTTCTCACTAAAGGGCTAGCTGCTCTGCTAGTTCAGGGTTTATCTGGAAGTCCCGTGCCTGAGATTTTGAGGGTAACACCTGATTTCGCTCTTCTTCTCGGTTTGCAGCAGAGCCTGAGTGCTTCTAGAAACAATGGATTCCTTAATATGCTCAAGTTGATGCAGAAGAAGGCTCTTCTTCTGGAAGTCAAATCTGAGGAGGATACAAGTTCTGGAGAGGTTTCAGAATCCAGCTTCGAAACTACTCCTGAAACAGTCGACGAAGCAAGTGTTCTGGAGGGGGATTCAGACTCCAAACCTAGCTTAGTTGAGGATTTGGAAGCAGAAAAGATTGAAGAAGTAGATACTGGGTCTGATGTTGTTGCTTTAGGGAGTAGAGGAATGAGGATAAGAGAGAAATTGGAGAAGGAGCTAAGTCCTGTTGAGTTGGAAGTTGAAGATGTTTCTTCTCAGCACGCAGGACATGCCTCTGTTAGAGGCACAGATGGGGAAACACATTTTAACCTGCGAATCGTTTCGGATGCTTTCCAAGGTAAAAGTTCGGTCAAGAGACATAGGATGATACATGACTTATTGCAAGAGGAGTTGCAGAGCGGGTTACATGCTCTCTCTATTGTCGCTAAGACTCCGTCTGAGGTTTGAGGGCGTAGCAATGGAAGGAGACAGGTCCAGATTCTTTTTCTTCTTTCAGTCCATTGCTCTAGATTTGCTTACCGGATCTTTTTGATAATGTTGACGCTTAAGAGCCTGATGAGGATCTTAATGAGAGATAGGTATTTATTGTGCCCAAAGGACTGGATTTTTAAGGAGGATATATATAATGTTTTCAATACATGTTTCTCCATTTTCAAACTGAATTCCGATAGCAAAGTAGAAGAAGACAGAAGAATGACTGAATTGAATCAATACTCCCTTAAGAACAATTGAGTAATGTTTGTGGAGTTTCCCTCGCCTCCCAGTTCGGTTTTGAGCTACCAATAAGCTACTTCTTCGTAAACCTATCTCCCTCCTATTTATACTATTCCTTCCCACATTCTAGGTCCTATTAATTGCTTTCGTTAGCGTCACGTTCTTGTTTGTTTTGCTATGGTTTCTTGATATTAAGTTTTGATGTCACTCACTTTGAGAGTGATTGAGACTCAAGAGATAGGGTTAAGTTTGAATTGCTGGGATCATAAAAACTGTATAGAGTTCAGAGATGTAGGGTGCAAAATGATAATTTTCATGTATAAAGTTGCTTGCAGATTTCTCTTTCATCTAGATAGCTAAAGTTGCTACTCTATAATCAATTGGTGCAAGTTGGTTTGAGGGACTGCAGATTAAAAAAAGAGATTTGATTGCTTTATTTCTTTCCTTTTGATAAAACAATAATAATATATGTGAAAGGAGTTTCGATTGATCCCTGTTTCAGTCTACCATTAGGCATGGGATGTTTCTTAAAGCCTCATTAGCTGAGACTTGTGGGGTTTTATATACAATCAACTTTACATGTCTGTCTACTGAAACCAGTTGCTGTTGTATCTAATATCTGAAGTTTCCTGTACAAAGTATTAATAATCTTTGTTGAGGTTTTGAATTTTAAAATCCTCTGTGTTGGTATATGCTAAAAAATGGGTAAGCTTCTTTTCCTTTGTTTGTGTGTTTTGATTACTTTCTTTAATCTCTAAAGGGAACCAACATACGAATCTAGTGTTTGATACTCTTTTGCTTTTGTTCTTAAATATTTTGTCTGGTGGTTCAGGTATGTTCAACAACAGTACGAAAATACAACACTGTTCTTGGAACTGTGTCTAATGGGTCAATAATGAATCTGTTGCCTAGAACTTTCTAATTACTTAATCTTGGAGAATAGTACAAACTCTGATCTATGTTCTTGGATAGAGTTCACTAGGTCTTGTTCTTTTATACATTTTTTTGGTAAGCAGATAAAGAGATCTATAGCTGAAGAGCATGCCAAAGCTAGACATTGAAGATAACTCCCTTACTTCACGAACCTCGTCATCATCTCTTCGCTGTGCAATTACGAGAAACCAGGATTCCAGTTGGTGGACCAGTCATTTGAAGACGGCACCTCCCGTGCAACCAATAAGAGTAATGAATCATTCCAAAATGAGCTTTGACTTTGAAGGTACCTTTAATCTCATATTCTATCTTGTTATCCTGCACTTGTCTCTTGAGCTCCACTGCGTGGTTTACAGGCAAGCAGACCAAGCTTGAGATCAAACGGATCGGTTCCAACCTCGTCTCTCGTTTTCTCTGCAAGAATGGCTGGACCGCTTGCACTGCAATCAATTTATTAAAAAAGAAGAGCTCTATCTTAAGCTGCTCAAACCTCACTTCTATCTTCTTATTGGGGTTTGTGAAATTCACCACCATGGACAAATCACCATTGAAATACACCGATGAATCAAAGTAAACTGTGTGTAGGTTCGCGTTTGGGATGTCAAAAACAGGGGTTCTTGGTCTAATCGCAAGATACACAATCAAAGTAGCAATTCCGAAGAAGATAAGCAAAAGGCTGAACACGAAACATAAACCTGCGACACACCATATCCACAGATTGGTCCTGCTACTCCGTGGCAGCCGGAGAATCACCGAATCTTTCTTCGGCTCTGCATCAACACCATTGAAGTTAACCATGGCTGGCTTCGTTAAGACCATTTGGTTAAGTGGTGTGGCTTGTGTGCTTCGTGGTGTTCTCCATGGTGTGGTTCTTGGAGTATACCACATAGAAGAAGACGGCGTATCCCATGGCGGCGTTTCGGGAGGTTGTGACTGCGGTGGAGGAGGAAGAGGAAGTAGATTTGACATAGGTTATGTGATCAATGAAAGGAAAGTTGGAAATGTGTAATGGTTTTGGGTTAAATAGGAAAAGATTAAAGCTTTGTTTTTGTTGTGTGTAAAAAGCGAAAGCGAGAGTTTGGGCAAAAGAGGGAGCTTTTGCATAATGGGGTTTGGTTTTGAAATGAGTGGGACCATGCGTGTCGTTTTGAAGAACTAGTAAAGCAAATCTCGGTGGCTTTAAAGTTTGAAAACTACATGCGTTTTTTTGTATTAGAAAAGATGAGTTTTTTTTTTGGTTTCTTAACAATTTCTTAATTAAATAGTATAAGATAAAAGAGTTTTGATTGATTACAGGGAACATGTACTTACTAATTGAACAAAATCAGAGTAGGTGTTTTAGGAAGAAGGATGTAATCATCCATTAGTTAAAAAAACAACTTACTAATTGAACAAAATCAAAGTAGGTGTTTTAGGAAGAAGGATGTAATCATCCATTAGTTAAAAAAAACAGATAAAAAGGTAAATGCTGTTTATTTTAAAAAAGGTGTTAGATGCATGCATATCCTAAGGGGAAATACTATGAGATATGCCGTTATACCTAGTGTATTTAATGAAATGGGCTATTTTTGAATTAATTAACGAGATGGACTTAACTAATGATCTTAATATCCTTTTGATCCAATGAAAAAGATAGTAGCGTGATATTATGTTAGAAGAAATTATAACATACCATGCAAAATTGACAAATTTTTTTTTTTAAATCATTTTCTCTTTCATCATTTTATTTTCCATTTGATTTTTGTTTTGATATAATACTTTGTTTAAAAGTTAAATTATTTTATCATCTATATATAAAAAAAACAAGATTTTGTTTTTGTATATGCTACAATTTGAAATTTTAGTAATTGACATATATTACATAAACTATTTGTATAGTGTTAGAATGAAATGTAACTTCATATATATGACATCCATATATATATTGATTGATCACATTTTATTACACTTGTGATTACTCAAACTATTTATATAATGTGAAAACAAAATGTAGTTATGCTATATACAAATTTTTTTTTTTCGACAAAACTAAATATATTATGATGTTAACTGTGACATTACATAATCTTTATGCAAATAAGGAGTTGACCAAACAGTAGGATAATTACAACTTGAATAAAATAAAGCATTAAGAGGACCCCTTTGAGCCAAGCAATGAGCCACTTCGTTTGAGCTCTTCTAATTGCAGTGAATTTGTGGTTGAGTAATCGAGATGCCCATAGTGCAATATCAACTCCAAGATTATGAATGTGAATCTGTTTGGAAGCATCATTAAAATGCTATATACAAAATATT